TCAAAATCAATGGGAATATATACACAGGTGAGGATTAACTACAACAACAACAACAACAAAAAATATATATATATATATATAGAGAGAGAGAGAGAGCCCTGGCCAGTGTGGCTCAATTGGTTTAGCGTCATTGGATATACCCAGAGGTCTGGGGTTCCACTCTTCTACCTTCCTACCCCATCAGGGATGGGGTGCAGGCTCCATCCCTAGTAGAAGAGGGAGGGGGAGATGTGTAGGAGGCAGCCAATCAATGTTTTTCTCCATTCTGCTCCCTCTTTAAAATCAATAGAAAAATATAAAATTATGATTGCGAAACTTCTAGAGACCTCACAAAAATGGTCCTGAACAAGTATAGTACCCGAAACCTTAAACTTCAGTAGCTTCATGGTAAATCTGCCTGAGTAGCAAGTCCTGTTCTTTACAGTAAATGCCTAAGGAAACTACAAGTGTAATTCAATGACAGTGTTTGATCACATTTTGGAATCCCTCCTACTATGAGATAATTAAGGACTAGAACCATCTTTTTTTTCCTTCTTCTTCTTTTTCTTTTTTTCTCCAGAACCACCTTTTTATCATTCTTGTCTAACACCCGATGGAAGGGAGGAAGAAAGTTGGGAGATGCTTTATAAAAACACAGGTTTGTTCCTGGTCAGGTAACTAAATTGGATAAAGCGTTGTCCAGATATGCCAAGATTTAGGTTCGATTTCTGGGCAGCACACATACAAGAATAAACCGAGCCCTAGCTGGTTTGACTCAGTGGATAGAGCATCAGCCTGTTGACTGAAGGGTCCTGGGTTTGATTCCTATCAAGGGCACATGCCCGGGTTGCAGGCTCAATCTGCAGTGTAGGGCGCGCAGGAGGCAGACAATCAATGATTTTCTCATCATCTGTGTTTCTAAATCTCTTTCTCCCTTCTTCTCTGAAATCAATGAAAATATATTTTTAAACAGAATCAACCAATGAATGCATAAATAAATGGAAAAACAAATCAATGTTTCCCTCTCCCTTCCTCTCTCTCTAAAATCAATCAACAAAAAAAATTAAAAGAAAGAAACAGGTGTTTTTGTTTGTTTGTTCATTGATCTTAGAGAGGGAGAGGAAGAGAAAAAAAACAAAAAAAACATGGATTAGGGATAGAACCCGAAATCCTGCCCTAACTGGGAATCAAACCCACCACCTTCAGGTGTGTAGGGTATCACTCCAACCTCTGAGCCACACTGGACAAGGTGATTTATTGTTTGTTTATATTTTTTTCTTTCATGATATCGTGTCTACCATCAATCTCAAGTTTTTCCCTTTTTCATCAAAGTTATAAACTCCCCTCAGGGCCCACCTCATTTCTAGGCTTACTCTAACCAATTTCTTAAAATAACCCCATAAAGAGTAATTATTTCCCACTATAAGAGATACCTAATAGGTAGATTATAAAGTAGGTGTGTCGAATTCCAGTGTACATGTTTAAATACCAATGAAGCTGAAACCGGTTTGGCTCAGTGGATGGAGCGTCGGTCTGTGGACTGAGGGGTCCCGGGTTCTATTCTGGTCAAAGGCATGTACATTAGTTGCGGGCACATCCCCATTGGAAGGTGTGCAAGAGGCAGCTAGTCGATGTTTCTCTTTAATCAATGTTTCTAGCTCTCTATCCCTCTCCCTTCCTCTCTGTAAAAAAATCAATTAAAAAAAATATTTTTTTTTTAGGTCAGGGGGCAAACATGGTGGCAGAATAGATAGACTTGTCCCGAATCTAGTCCTGGAGAAGATAGAAGAAGCGCTTGAGAGTTGCTCTGGGGGGTGTTTGTTGGCAAGCTAAGGGATAGAAGAACTCTAAGAGAAGGTGGGCTATGTGCAGTTTTGTTGTAGTTAAGCCTTGATTGTTCTTGGTAACACTAGGAGGAATTGACTTTTAGGCCAATTGATTGTGAGGATCAGTTGTGTCTACGATGGGAGAATTTCTGTTCTGGAGACACCCTTATGGGGTAGGACTTGCTTCAGTGGGGCTTTGGTGCTCACTGAGTCTGCCCCCTGAGTGTGTCCCTCATGGATCTGTGGAGTTGTAATCTGGATGGTCCTACTTGACCACTGGGTACACTGGCTCTTGTATCTCTAAAGAGGTACAAATTTATCTCTGCCTGAAGTCACCCTGCAAATTTCTTTTTTTTGTTTGGGTTTGGAGGTACCCAGATGAGGTCCAGCTGTGAAATAATGCAAGCTGCTGTGGATCTTGGGTCTTCCTTTGGGAGTTCTGGAGCTCTCTGACCCAGCTGCAGTTTGTTAGGTAATTTTAGATTGCAAAGGGCCAGGCCATTCATATGGAAAAGACTCTGCACACAACTGGGGTGGGGTTGAAAATTGGGTGGGGCAGGGTCTCAGAGACTCAACAGGGCAGAGCAAACTGCAATGGTTGAACTTTAGCCCTGCCCTAAGAGGCCCCCGGGTCTCAGTGTCCTGCAAGCACCTCTGAGAAAAAGCCTCTCATGTGTTCCAGCTCAATGCCAGACAGTCCTATTCCCAACCCCCTTCTCTCCCCTTATGAGTCTGTGTCCCCAGAGTCTCGCCTGGAACTGGAGTTCAAAGTAATCTGGAGCTTGGGTCTCCCTCCCAATTGAACAAGACAACTGTGTCTTCAGTTGCCAGCCCTTTCCCCTCGAGCCTCCATACCTCTGCACTTCACTTATGCACCTCCTCTTAGTCTCAGGGTGCTTTTCTCTTCCCTTCTATTGTAGAATTTCCACTCAGCCAGCCTTTCTGTGGTTCTGGATGATATTCATTTTGTCTCTTAGTTTTAGTTTTGAAGTGATTGTGCAAGGCAGCAATATCAGGTGTTTACCTATGTCACCATCTTGGTTTCTCCTATATAATTTTCTTTAAAAAAATATGCCGGGGCAGAATCCAAGATGGCTGCTCGGGTAGGCACCTAGCCGCAGCCGCACGCAACAATTTCAATAAGATGCAACTAAAATATAAAATGGACATTACCCAGAACTACAGGAAAGTCGACTGACTGGAAATTCTACAACGAGAAGCAAGGAGAAAACCAGAAGGAGGTGCGGAGGAGCTGTAAAAGCCCAAGGTACGGAGACACGGTGCGCAGAGAGGACGGAGCCAGAGAGGAGGGAGAGGCCGAGTGCCTGGTGGGCGTTCCCTAGCGGAAAGGAGATAAAACTCCGACTGTGCTGGGCCCCCGACTGCTCTGAACCCCAGTTCTCCAGACCCCAGGGACCCAGGCTCAGCCATAGGGAGCCGGGCTGTAAGGCGGAACCCGGGGAGCGGCGAAAGGAGGTCCCAGAGGCACACACACTGCGCGCAGAGAAGGGACGGTCAGCTGTGCCGCAGGATTGCCCTGACGGGAAGGAGACTGGGGCTCCAGACTGCTCTGAATGCCACCTCCAACTCCACTTCCAACTGAACTGAACCCCAGTTTCGGGCCCATTGCGGGAGAGCCTACACTGTTTGGTAGCAGGCGAAAATCGAGGGCACCTTTCTCTCAGAGGTGCTTGCAACAAGTACTGAAGGACCCTGAGTCTCAGGAGTCGCATAGGGCGGGGCTGACGGAAGCCAAAGCTGTAGGCTCCACCCTGAAACCCCGCCCCATCAGGAAAGCTGCCTGCGAAAATGCCTAAACCAAATAGATCACAAATGAAAGAAATGGAGGATAAAAAGCGACTGGATATAGAGTTCAAAACCACACTTATAAGGTTTTTCAAGAGTTTCCTAGAAAAGGCCGATAAAATAAATGAGACCTATGAGGACATGAAAAGGGATCAACAAGAAATAAAGAATACATTGTCTGAAATAAAAAATATTATACAGAGTCCTAAAAACAGAACGGAATATCACAAGAATCAAGTCAAAAATTTGGAACATAAAGAGCCAGAAGACACTCCTCTGCAGAAGCTAGAAGGCAAGAGAATCCAGAAAATTGAAGATAATGTAAGAAACCTCTGGGACAACTTCAAACGATCCAACATCAGAATCATGGGGGTCCCAGAAGATGAGAGAGAGCAAGATATCGAAAACATACTGAAAGAAATAGTGACAGAAAACTTCCCCCATCTGGGGAAAGAACTGGACTTACAAGTCCAGGAAGCACACAGAAACCCAAATAAGAGGAATCCAAAGAGGACCACACCAAGACAAATCATAATTAAGATTCCAAGAGCAAAGGACAAAGAGAATATTAAAAGCAGCAAGAGCTAAGCAGGTGGTTACCTATAAAGGAGCACCTATACGACTGTCAGCTGATTTCTCAACAGAAACCATGCAGGCCAGACGGGAATGGCAAGAAATATTCAAGGTGATGAATGGCAAGAACCTACAGCCAAAAATACTCTACCCAGCAAAGCTATCACTCAGAATCGAAGGTCAGATAAAGAGCTTCACTAATAAAAAAAAGCTAAAGGAGTTCATCACCACCAAACCAGAATTATATGAATTGCTGAAGGGGGTTCTCTTAGAAGAGAAAGTAAATAAAGATAAAAATTATGAACAACAAATACATAACTATCAACAAGTGAATCTAAAAACCAAGGGAATTAAAAAAAAATCTGATGAACAATATTAACTGTTGAATATAATAGAATCAGAGGTATGGAAGGGGAGTGAACTAATGATTCTTGGGGAAAAGGAGAGAGGGGAATGTGGGAAGAGACTGAACATAAACTGTGCACCTATGGATGAGGACAATGGGGAGTGGGGAAAGGGCAGAGGGTGGGGTGGGAAGTGGGGGGAAAGGAACACTTGTAATAATATGAACAATAAAAATTTATTTAAAAAAAAAATATGCCGGGACCGGTTTGGCTCAATGGATAGAGCTTTGGCTTGGGGACTGAAAGGTCCCGGGTTCGATTCCGGTCAAGGGCATGTACCTTGGTTGCAGGCATACCCCCAGTAGGGGGTGTGCAAGAGGCAGCTGATCAATGACTCTCTCTCATCGATGTTTCTAACTATCTCTCTCCCTTCCTCTCTGTACAAAAAAACGAATAAAATATATATATTTTTAAAATATATGAACACTTCACAAATTTAGGTGTCATCCTTGTTCAGGGACCTGCTAATCTTCACTGTATCCATATAACTTCCTTTTAACATTTCTCTTTACAAACTTTTTATAACTTTCACAAACCTTTTTACAACTTTATTTTAATTTTTTTTTTTATTATTATTGATTTCAGAGAGGAAGGAAGAGGGAGAAAAATATAGAAACATCAATGGTGAGAGGAATCATTGATCAGCTGCCTCCTGCATGCCACTTACTGGGGATTTAGCACACAGCCTGGACATGTGTCCTTGACTGGAATTGAAACTGGGACCCTTCAGTCTACAGGCCCATGCTCTACACAAAGTATGTAAAACTCAAAGGCTAACATGGGCCAAACAAACAGGTTTTAAGTTAATATAGGCCCCAAAATCAAAAGCTTCAATTTTCACAGAATTGTAGGTTTATTTCAATAGAGACATGCTGAATGCAAAGGGCTGAAATAAATGAGTAATCATTAACATTAAATAATAGAACATTTTAATATAAATTAATATTTTTTCTTGAACATTAACTTACCAGACACTGAATAACTGCACAAATTAATGAGCATAGCACAACTAAACCTATTTTTCTTGTTCTCCGAAAGCAAATTATTTCCTGGTATGCACATCAAACAAGGCAGTCCAAAGACTAATGACGTGGTAATAGGTTGCTAACATATTCGATGCTAGTTATTAGTGGGAAAAAATTGTGTGCCTGTACGTAAGGGAAATGAATGCAACATGATTATAGTAACCAGTCTTTAGCAAATGTTGTATTTTGTTATTAATAATTATGTATAATAGATTATTGTAAAAATTAGGTCACAATTTTTTTAATATGTTTTATTGATTTTTTACAGAGAGGGAGAGGAATAGAGAACTAGAAACATTGACCAGCTGCCTCTTGCATACCCCCTACTGAGGATGTGCCCGCAACCAATATTCATGCCCTTGACCGGAATCGAACCTGGGACCTTTCAGTCCCCAGACCGATGCTCTAACCACTGAGCCAAACCGGTTTCGGCAGGTCACAAAATTTTTATTAAAACGTTTTTTACATACTAATACCATTATATTGTCTGGGCTGCAAATATATTTGTTGTGGGGTACATGTGGCCCATTGGCCACGAGTTTGACATGCTTGATCTAGACCCTTGCTTTCCTCTTTGGTATTTTGGGGCTTTCTCAGTGCACACATACACTTCCTGCTCTAATCCTAACTCCCATTTATTTACTTCATATGGCCACCTATTTCTATACTATGAGTAGATTATCACTTCCACCTGAATAAAAAATAATCTCTTTTTCATCATTTTAGAGCAAGCAATGAGATACAGGAAAACAAAACAAAATAAAGGAACAAAAACAAACTTTGTAATCTGACAAGGGAAGATTTGAAACCCAACAGTCACTTGTTCTGAACATAGGAAATGTCTTCATTTATCCTTTTTTATTTTTATTTTTAAAAAATATACTTTATTGATTTTTACAGAGAGGAAGGGAGAGGGATAGAGAGCTAGAAACATTGATGAGAGAGCAACATCGATCAGCTGCCTCCTGCACACCTCCCACCAGGATGTGCCTGCAACAAATGTACATGCCCTTGACCGGAATCGAACCCAGGACCTTTCAGTCAGCAGGCCGACGCTCTATCCTCTGAGCCAAACAGGTTTCAGCACCTATCCTTTTTTTAAATATATTTTTATTGATTTCAGAGAGGAAAAAGAATTAAAAAGTGATAGAAGCATCAATGATGAGAGAGATGATTCCTTGATTAGCTGTCTTCTGCATGTCCCACAGTAGGGGTCAAACCAGAAACTCAGGAATGTGCCCTGACCAAGAACTGAACCAGGACCTGCTCATTCAAATGTTGACACTAAACCTCTGAGCCATACCAGCCCAGGCTTCAGGTATCCTTAATCTCTGACAGTTTAACAGTAGGAGTGGTCTGAGGAGGCCATTTTCAGACTTTTTGTAAGAAAAGAATCCTTGTTTGGTAGTCAATAGGTTAGGATCTCAAGCAGTAGAATCAGGCTGACCTAGATTTAATGAATTTTAAATACTTATTGAACTTTTAAAACTATTAGTTGCTGATAGATGGGAAGGTGCACATTTTCATTACTACAGATGGGAAGCTGGAGGGTTTTTGTTTTGTTTTGTTTTGTTTTTGTGTGTGTGTGTGTCTGTTTTTTAAATTCTCACCTGAATATATGTATTTTAGGGAGAGGAAGGGGGGGTGGGAGTGGGATCCATTGATGCAAGAAACATCAATCCATTGCTTCCTGTACGTGCCCCAACCAGGGATCCAACTCAAAACCTGTGTATGTGCTCTGACCAGGAATGGAACTTGCCATCTTTCCATGGGACGACTGAAAAGCTGGAGTTTTAATTGTTTGAGCAACTTTCTTAAGAAAGTAGATCTTGCCTTAGCCTTTTTGGCTCAGTGGACAGAGCATGGGCCTGCAGACTGAAGGATCCTGGGTTCGATTCTGGTTAAGGGCACATGCCTGGGTTGCAGGATTGATCCCCAGTAGGGGGCGTGCAGGAGGCAGCCCATTAATGATTTTCTCTCATCATTGATGTTTCTATCTCTCAATTCCTTTCTGAAATCAATAAGAATATATGTGTGTTTTTTCTTTAAAGAAAGATGTTATGTAGTACATGAAAACCTTTTTTGCTTTCTTCAAGCCACCAATCTAGCCCTGAAATTCAACTGTTTCCTAAAGTTCTGGCTTTAAATCCCTTCACTCCTATGGTTCAGAAGTTTTCTTTTGTTTTTCTCTTGGAATTTTTCTGAAGTTTTAACTTCCTAAGATCTTCTGAGCCACACCTTAGATAATGATGTTAAAAAGCTCACAAACAAACAAACAAAAAGGCCAGGAATGGTATTAATCCATTCATACCACGGTTCCTTCTTAAATAAAAACACAGGTAGCTTTCACAAATTGTGGGGGAGGGACAAAAAAGGGAGGGGGAGGAGTTCCTTTGGTTGGCAGGAAGTAGGAGGAGACTTTTTAAAGCAATCTTGGGTCAGGGGCCATTTCAGAAGTAAGAACTTTTTCTTGGTCAGCCTTCGATTCTTTTCTCCTTATGGAAAATACAAAAGGCAAGAAGGTAAGGACATTTTAGGGGCTTTGTTTTCTGTCTTTGTGTGTTACACTTGCATCATCAGCACATTCATTCATTCTTTTTTTTTTTTTTTTTTTTTTTTTTTTTTTTTTTTTTTTTTTTTTTTTTTTTTTGTAAGAGCGAGCTATTGGGTAAATTACAGAGGTAAAAAAAAAAAAAAAAGTAATTCCTAAAGAAATGGGCTTAGCAAACAAGTTCTAGAGGTAAAGGAGAGTGAGGAAGCTAATGGTAAGGTGCCTGGGGCAGGGAGAGGGAGGGGGAAGGGAAAGTAAGCTCTAGATATGATGAAAGCTTGCTGTTTGGAGTGAGGAAATAAATAAGGAATGAGTCAGCTGTTTTTGGTTTTAAAGAGATGCTTTATCCTGTCGAAATAATCAGGTATCTGGGCTAGAAGGAAACGGAAATGGGAGAAAAAGAGAGGTGAGGAAAAGACTTTAGAAAGAGGTAGTTGACTAAGACTGGGAGGAAAATGAGATCTTAAACCAAAGGTGCTGTGTCTGAGCTGGTCTTTTCCTGGGGTTGTTTGAGCCAAAAAGTAATTAGAAGCCGTACATACTGATGAGCACTGAGGACAGAAACTAAAGGTGGAGAGGCTTTGAGGTTACTACTGTGGGGGCTAAACCACTATATTATATTATGCTTATCCTCCCACGTTCTAAGTTTTTCTGGCTGGGCTAATCAAATTAGCGGAGACAGATTAATAGGAGAAAATAATGTTTTAATACATGTGCATGGGGAATTCACATGGACAGAAAAATTCCTGAAGATAGGCAACATTGCCATTTTGGGCAAAATAGAAAAGGGTGTGTGTGTGCGCGCGGGGCAGGGCTGGGGGGGATGGGGGAGGGGGAAGAGAGTAGTAGGAGAATAGTGAGATCTTAGATTCGTAAGAAAGAATGGGCAATTTAGCCGAAACTGGTTTGGCTCAGTGAATGGAGCGTCGGCCTGCGGACTGAAGGGTCTCAGGTTCGATTCCTGGTCAAGGGCATGTACCTTGGTTTCGGGCACATCCCCAGTAGGGAGTGTGCTGGAGGCAGCTGATCAATGTTTCTAACTCTACCCCTCTCCCTTCGTCTCTGTAAAAAACCAATAAAACATTTTTTTTTGAAAAAAAATTAAAAAAAAAAAGAGAGAATGGGTAATTTATATAAAGAGCAGAGCTTACATGGCAGAAAAATCCTAGCCAAAGACCCCCACTTGAAGCCCTCTTATTGTCATAATTCAAATTAGGCCAAGGTGAACATCCTAAGATCTTTGTGAAGCAGTTTCTCTGAAGCTCTTGGGGCTGAGCGGGTGAAAGGTTCTTTCCAGTGCTTGCTTTGGAAGGACACATACTAACTTGGAATGATACAGAAATTAGCTTGGTCCCTGTGCGAGGATGACAGGCAAATTTGTGAAATGTTCCATATACATACGTTCTTTCTGAGAGGTGTTTCTTAATAAACAGCTTAAAATCAGTATCCAAAAAAGGCAGCCTAAGGATGGCCTAAGTTTGGTTTCTTTCAGTACAGAAGAATTGAACAACTCTGCAAAAAAAACCTGATCACTCTTGGGATCTCTTCCTAGAACCGTCATTTTTGCCCTCTCAATTTTAAGACTTTTGTGAGTATTTTGTGAAAGAGCTTTGCAAATATAAAATTTGAATATGAGTGTTAAACTGCTATAGAGTTGTAAAAATGCCATACAAATGTTAATTTGTCCAGTAGTCCCACTTGGATGGATGATAGAAAGGCTTTAGATTTGGGAGCAAATTCACCTTAGATTAATTTTATCTAAAATACTGTGTGCTCTTAATTTTGTAACCTTAGTTATCAATACCTGATAGAAGATAGAGGCTCAACACAGGTCAGTTTCTCTGTCTCTCCACATCACCCAACATTATCATCCCCACTGTTCTCTTGTTTCTTTTGATTCAATTAACCAGTAAGTGCCTACAATGTAAAGAAATTCTACCCTGGTGGGGCTTACAATCAAATGGAGTAATAGGCACTGTTCAAATCACAAGCAAATGTAAAATTGCAACTGACAAATGGTGGAATGAGGAAATGATGTATTATAGATTTGCCAAGGTCTGTAAAGGCTAAAAAGGATTACCAGATGAACTAATACTGGAAGTGAGAGTCAAAAAGTTAAGTTTTAAAATGTAAATAGGAATTGGGGGTAGGGTGGAGGGGGAGGGTGGGGGAGCTGAGGAAAATCTTTTTACTTTTTTTTTTTTTTATCAGGTTTTTGTTTTGTTTTTTTAATCCTCACCCAAGGATCTTTACCCATTGATTTTTAGAGGGGGGAAAAACCGAGAAATATCTGATGTGAAGGAAACACATCAATTGGTTGCCTCCTGCACGCACCCCAACCAGAGCCCGAGCCAGAGAGGAGCCTGCAACCAAGGTACTTGCCCTTGACTGGAATCTAACCTGGGACTCTTGGATTTGCAGGCTGACATTCTATCCACTGAGCCAAACGGGCTAAGGTAGGGAAATCTCTTTAGGTCAAAGTAACTGTGTTGGGAAGGGAAGGAATGCTGATACTGAAACTTGGGGCAATGGAGAGTAATAGAAAAACTGAAATGGAAAATATGAGGCTGGTATGTTGTATTAAGGGCATTTGATTATCCGGATATTTTCCCTGCTAAGAACAATAATGAGCCGAAACCGGTTTGGCTCAGTGATAGAGCATCGGTCTGCGGACTGAAATGTCCCGGGTTCGATTCCCCTCAAGGGCATGTATGTTGGTTGCGGGCACATCCCCGGTGGGGGGTGTGCAGGAGGCTGCTGGTCGATGTTTCTCATCGACGTTTCTGGCTCTCTATCTCTCTCCCTTCCTCTCTGTAAAAAATCAATAAAATATATGAGGGGGAAAAAAGAACAATAATGGGTGTATAGCATCTTTATGGGAAACATTTTTTGGAAGGGGTCAAGAATAAAGACGTGGGGGGAGGTAAGGGTTGTAAATCTTCTTGGTGGGAGATAAGGATAATGTGGCTGATATAAGGGCTTCCTCCGAAGCAGAGCATAGTTTACTGTATTTTATTTGTATCTATATTTTGTGTCTTCTCTCATACATTCAAATTGGCCTTCTCCCATTTCTCCATCATTGTTTCACTATCTTATACATAAACCTGAGCATTAAGATGATACCCATGGAATACACACTTCCAGTGACCTCCAGTGACCTTGGTGTCTTGGGTGTGGATAACCTTAAGGCAGATAATGTGATGTGGTGGGTCAAACACCAGAGGAATTACTGATTGGCTCTTCTAAACCCACCAGAAGTCCCCAAAGAAGTCAGGGGAGCAGCAAACAGCTTCAAAATCCCCTCCCGAACCAACTAAAGAAAAACACAGGGCTGCTGGTGAACCAAGCCAACAAAGAACCTCAGAGATGGAGACCAAACGGAAGAGGTCTAAGAAAGATGACCAAGGTAAGAGGTAACAGCCCCTCAAGTCCCATTTCCTTGGTTTAAGCCTGAGGAACTTTTCTGGAGAAGGAAATAAATGTTTGTCCTCTACTCTGCAAGCCATATGCGTCCTTTGAAGCCTGGCTTAAATCTCACCTCCCTGAAGCCTCCTTTCAGTCACCTCTTAAAACTTATTTCCTGTCTCCAAACAATCATTTTGCTTCCACTCTGACTAGGGGAAAATTCTGAGATGTCCTAAATTACAGCTGCCCGAGTGGGAGCAAAAGGCAGAACTGCTGGTCTGTTGATGTCCAAAGGCCAGCTAAGAAAGGACTCCTCATATTCTTCCTGTTGTTTGGAACTTGGGTTAAATTCCCGGTTATATTTCTTCAGAATATTTTAGCCAAGCACCATCACACTCCATGAGCCACCGCTGTGTCTTTACGTGTGGGCTTTCTGACTCTATGCGTATCCCAGTCCTGGCTCCACTTCAACCTCTCCCACCCCTTTGCCGACAGCTAATGTAAATTCTTTCAAGTGGCTGGCTGTACACCTTTCTTCACCCTCTCTGCTTCTTAATGTATAAAAACACTTGTAAACTGCCAAGTCCATGTACATACTTATCTCTTCCACCTAGCCAAGCTGTTGTTGGTTCGGACTTCATGTCTTTAGACCCATCTCCTTCTTAGCTAGCATTTCTGGCTCAATGAAACATTTCTTTAAAAAAAAAATTAAAAAAAAAGGCTTTCAACGGTGGAAATTAAAATTTTTGTTTTAGCTAGCTGCTTTGGAGTTAAAAACCTCGATGTGCAATGACTTGGGGCAGACCGATGCAGGTTTGCAATTACATTCTTGAAACTCACTCTGGCTAGTTTGGCTCAGTGGTTAGAGCATCAGCCTGCAGACTGAAGGGTCCCTGGTTCAATTCCCGTCAAGGGTACGTTCTTTGGTTGCAGACTGCCAGCCCTGGTTGCGGTACATGCAGGAGGCAAACCAATCGATGTGTCTGTCTCTTTCACATTGATGTTTCTCTGTCTCTCCCCTCTCATCCTCTTTCACTCTGTCTAAAAATCAGTGGGCATATATATCTCCAGGTGAGAATTAAAAAAAATAATAACATTCTTAAAACTCCACTTCCTATATTTAAAATGGAGGATAATATCTACTAGGCTGAGTCAGGGGTGAAAGTTCAGTTGTAATTTATATGGAGTGATTAGGTAAAACTTCTAAACTATACACAGCTAGTAATGTGGACTCAATAAATGCTGGGAATTATTAGTGTAGCATAATTGTGTCTGTTCTGGAGCTGTGTTCTGAAGTCTTTTCTTAAATGGTGTGTTGGAGTGCAGCAGGAGGCCTGTGTGCTAGGACAGGAGCGCTGCCCTGGTGGGGTGGGCTGGCAGATTTGTGGGTAACAGTGGTTGTGCTGCACATCACAGGTCTAAAACTTCTCTCATTTCCCTGGATTGGAAGTGCGATCTCTAAGCAACTTCCTTGGAATCTCTGGGCTAATCTCTGAGGACAGGGATGTTGTGCCTATTTAGGAGTGGGGAGTGTGTGTGTGAGGAGTAGGGAGTTTTAGGAATTAAAAACTGGGGAACTCAGAAGTTTTAAGTCTTAGGTGCGAGGACCATGCCTTTGATTGAGGTTTTGTGGTCATGGGTAAATCATTTAACTCTATATTGGGGACTGTACTATGATAACTAAAAGTGATTGTACTTTTGACATTTTAAAAGGCCATATAAGAGTTAATTATTACTAATTTTATCCCGTTCTCCTTCAGATTATTGTCCAGAAAAGATGGAACCAGAAAAAAAAAGAGTAAAAACTCACAGGAAGATACCCATTCCTCCGCTGCCCGATCACTTGCCACCAGTTAACCTGGTACATCGAGACGTCGTGAGGGCTTGGTGCCAGCAATTAAAGCTGAGCACCAGTGGCCAGGTGAGGGCCGGGCTGTGAGTGTGGCTAGAAGGCAGCATGGGAACCTTGATCTAATTATTAACTCATTTTCTCTTCTCTTAGAAATGGGAAACATATGACAGGCTGCGTGAATATGCTTACCCTCATCAAAAGGTGAGTAATTTGTAAGAAATTTGGTAGAATGGAAGCTTCCATTATCATCCTAATTACCTTTTTTAGCATGAAAAAGTTGTAAAATAATTGACCTAGCCCTTCTTTCACCCTCCATTCCTAAAAAGGCACAACATCCCTGTCCTCAGTTTTCACCAACTCTGCAAAGAGTAATAAAAATGATGCTGCACTTCTCTTTAAAAAAAAGAAAATGTTTTTATTGATTTTGAGGGAGAGAGAGAGAGAGAAGTATCAACCTGTTGCCTCCTGCACGTGCCCCAACCAGGGATCAAACTCAAAACCTGGGTACATGCCTTGACCAGGAATCAAACCATCAACCTTTTAAGAAACACTAGCCTGGGTGAGGCTTCATTTATTTTATTTTATTTCAGACAGGAAGAGAGAGGGAAATAGAAACATCAGTGATGATAGAGAATCATTGATTGGTTGCCTCCTGCATCCCCGGCCCCAGCCATTGGGGATCAAACCCACAACCTGGGCATGTGCCTAGACCAGTAATTAAACCATGACCTTCTGGTTCATAGATCAAAGCTCAGCCACTGAGCCACACCAACTGGGCAAGGCTGCATTTCTGATAACACTTTAATCTCTCCAATCCTATTTGTAGAAGACTCCAGTCAAACCCGAGGAGGCAAAGATATTGTCTTTAGCACAAAGGAAGTTGAAGGTGCAGCAGGGGGAAATGACTCTGGACAGTTTTGCTCTTCCTGAACTGACTGCTTCCCCGAAAGGGGGGGCTGCTTCTGACGGGGATGCAGCTGCTCTCCTGGAGGGAATGGACAATCTTTTCGTGTCAACTTCCACCCCAGATGATGTGTTTGCCTCCTGGAGCAGAATTGCAGCCACTACTGGGAAGACTGGGAGTATGAAGACTAAGAGTTTGCCACAGGAGGCCACTGGTAAGCCCCATATAGAAAAGAAGCAAAACTACAAACAGAGAAACATCGATGTGAGAGACAGAGAGAGACATCAATTGGTTGCCTCCTGTACAGGCCTGGACCAGAGCTGGGGATCAAGCCTGCAACCAAGATACAGGCCTTTGACTTGAATTTAACCAGAGACCCTTCAGTCTGCAGGCTTATGCTCTTCCTACTCAAATTAGGGTATATCTAAATGACCTAACGAGCTAGTGATTTCTGCCATCACCTCTAGTTTCTGATTCAAGGCTTGAGAATGTGCATTTCTGGCAATTTTCTTGGCACTGCTAGTCGGGGGACCACTCACACTGAAAACCACTGCTCTAAATTACTGGTATCATCACAAAGGAATGACAATCTGTTTGAATTAATTTATTTCCCCTTTAAGGAATTAGAGTGTAACCATTTTGGCTCAGTGGGTAGAGTGTCAGCCTGCGGACCAAAGGATCCCAGGTTTGATTCTGGTCAAGGGCACGTACCTCGGTTTCAGGCTTCTTCCAGGGAATGGTAAAGATGTGTGCTGGAGTAGATGTGTTCTTCTCACATCGGTATTTCTTATAATTCTCTTTTTCCCTCTCTCTTCCACTATCTCTAAAAATCAATGGAAAAAATATCCTTGGGTGAGGGTTTTTTTTAAAAAAAAAAGAAAAAGAGAGAGGAAGGAAGGAAGGAAGGAAGGAAGGAAGGAAGGAAGGAAGGAAGGAAGGAAGGAAGGAAAGGGAGGGAGGGAGGGAGGGAGGGAGGGAAGGAAGGAAGGAAGGAAGGAAGGAAGGAAGGAAGGAAGGAAGGGAGGAAGATTAAAATCAACTGCCTGAGCTGAAGAAAGGAAGGAAGGAAGGAAGGAAGGAAGGAAGGAAGGAAGGAAGGAAGGAAGGAAGGAAGGAAGGAAGACAATAAACTGCCTGTTGAAGTGTTCACACCCTTGGACCTATTTCATGAAGGCCATTCAGACCTCTCTGGGTTAGTCTTTCTGTTGAAGGAAACCTGAATGGGTTATCCACAAATATAACTCTGACATAAATAAATTTATTTTGAGGTGAAGGCAGTTAAACTCAGAAAAGGGGGGTGAAAAACAACCTCCGCCTTTTCTGCTTAAAGGGAGGGCATAAGTTCACTTTTTGCCAGATATGCTCTTGTCAACTGAGAGATGGTACCAGAGGAACCTGTGAGCAAACCTTACTCCATTAGTGTCCTCCCATGCATTCACCTCCCCACAGTTCACCAACCCCTGTGGCCTAAAGCTGCTTTCTTTTGTCCTGTCATTTCTCCACAAATATACTGTTCTTTATTTGATGGAATTCTAAGCCCCCATTTTGAGTCTAGTTTTGTTGTGTTTTCTCCTACCTGGCATGCATTGATAAATTGTTTTTCCCTTATTAATCTGTCTTTAGAATCCCAGCCGGGAGCCTAAGATGGATAGAGGTCAAGTTTTGCCTCCCCCACACCACCATCAACCCACTTGCAGCTTATACCACTTCCAACTATAATTTTTGCTTCTTTTTAAAGCTGTAACAGAAACTGACTTGCATTGTTTTCTAAAGGGAACAGGATACAGCAGGTTAACTCAAAATTCCAGGGTTCATATCTCAAGAGCTAGCACTTGAGAAAGAATCAAAGACCAGGATGCAATTTTGAACGTGATTTGGTCTTGCTCTGTTCGTACTTATCTCTCTTTCCTTTCCCAGGTCTCCAGTGGTGTGTGGTCCATGGACAGAGTCTCCCTGCAGACACAGAGGGTTGGGTTCAGCTGCAGTTTTATGCTGGGCAGGCCTGGGTTCCTGAGAAACCGGGGCAAGTGTGTGCCCTCTTCTTGATACCTTCCCTCAGCTTTCCACCCCCCCACCTGGAGGATAATATGTTGTGCCCAAAATGCGTTCATAGGTAATTACCTAGTTCTTTTCTACAAACTAAAAGTGGGCCCTTGGGTTTTAGTTGATGGAGACGAGAAACGCATGTTTCTTTATCTTAATTAGCCCTGTATTTCAAGCAGAAGTTATCAGTAAAGAATTTCAAGAAAGTTATCACCCATTAATATATTCCTAGGAAAAAAATATTATGTCTATTTGGAGACCTGTAATTTTAGAGAAACACACATTTATAATTACTATATTCCATGTATATGTACTACACTGAAATAATTATCAAAAAAAAAATCTAAGTAGCCTACAGTCTAATGCAGATGATTGGTTTGTAAACATCTGCAAACATTTGATGCCATGTGGTGACTGGCATAAAAAAACAGATTTATTGATGTAAAGGGAGAATTGACTAGATGAAAAGCAGTAAGGTCATTTTTCAGTATGGGGATCAGAGTTGAGGCTGTGAAGGAAACTTTAGGGCAATATAGAATTGAAAATAGTTCCTTGTTATAGAATATTGCAGAAAACAAGCCTCAGTTTTCTCTTACAAAATATGCATGATAATGCCTATCTAAAAATTGTAAAAAAAAAAAAAAAAATTTAAATGCGTAAACAAGAAAAATGTACATTAGCAGTGGTGGGGAGGATGAGGAGTTGAGTCAAGCAGCTCATCCCTAGGTGATGGGCCACTGAAGGGTTTTAAGCAGGTAAATGGACGGAGGCTGACAGTCCAAGGAGAAAAGGGTGTTTTTTATGTTTAACGGGCCTGCCACTTCCTATAGGTGCCAAGAACAAATAATCTTGCTTCTAGATAATTATCTGATGGTTATTTAAATGTTGCTAAAGGTAAGAGTTGTAGTGGAGCTCAGGATAGTGCTTCAAGGAACAGCAGTATTGGGGGAACGTGTTAAAGGAGGCAGAAAAGAAACAAGAAAAGCTGGACTGTGAAGTTAATGGGGAGAGTGCCTGGGGAAACTTTTCTAATTCAAGTGAAACTTGAGGAAGGTACACATAATATACTTGTTTAGATGATAATAAGATTCAAAGCAGTAAAGGATATTAGAAAATTTGGTGTTGGTTGAGTCAGGGAGGAAAGAAGACGACGCTGCCCTTGGAGGTATTTTCTGAAAGTATTAATATAAACAGAGTAATGGGATGCTTACAGGGGATTTTCATCGGGGACAGGAAAGATGGGGAGAAAAGAATCCCTCTGGTGCAGCCCAGTCTTGGCTCCTAAGGGTCTGTGCCCACACTACTCCGCCATAAGGAACCTCCTGGGGCTCCATCTCAGCGTTCTATTGTCCCGCTTACCCTCCACCCCTTTGTGTTGTGGTTACTGAACACCAGAGATCAGGCACAGCTGGTATAGGATAGCAGTCTGACGTGGGCCCTCCGGCCAGACTCCCCCTTCACCATCTAGGGGTGGCAGCCCCTGGGAGCTGGCACAGGGAATGTACGCTTGTCTTTTCCCCTTTTGGCTGTCCCGATTCCTGCCACAATTCTGTGCCAATGAAGTTAAATACAATTGAGGTCATGTTGGATAGCTTTTTACTGGCATACTGGGACCATGGGAAATGGTTAAAAAAAAAATCACTCGGGGGCCTCGCCTGCACCAGGCTGCACAGAACAGGAATATGATAGAGACAAATGGTAAGGTGGCTGAAATTGCCATTCTTAGAGGACCTAGCTATGATCTTCCCACTCACTATCCTGAAGTTTAAGGTCAATTTTACTGGCATTCCAGCACTGGGTTTCTTGACATTTCTTGTTTGGGATTTTAAAGGTGTCAATCATTTCACTTGCTTTATAGGAATAAGGTGTTATCGAGGAGCTTTCCTTGCGAAGGAAGAGATTACGGCTATGATTGTAATTAAAATGGTAGGAAGGTGACTACAATCAACTCCACGGTGCCTCTGACAGCAACTCGGGGCTGCTCGACATCCTCAGTGCTCCCTGTTTACAGGGCCCAGACAGGTGGGGAGCAGATGTTACTCTTAGACTACCAAAAGTGCCTGCTGCTGCATCTGCTGGGATACAGCTATCATTCATTGCAGTGAAGATGCAAAAGTCACACCATCTGACGATTACCCATCTGAAACAGAAGGGATTCCAGCAGCTCTTTCATGGTGGGAGCCTGAACTGAACTTCTCGAGGGGAGTGGAGAGACAGGTGTGCTCCCTCACTAGACTCCTGCCTTCTGAGTCCTATATATGTAAAGTAACCATCTGCTATGTTTCGGGAATTTAGTTGTATGCAAATTATTGTTAACTAGAAGCCCAGTGCACAAATTTGTCCACGGGTCAGGGCCAATTGGGCTGAGCTGGGCTGGCCAGGGGGAGGAGCTGTTGGTGTTTGGCCAGCCTGCTCTGTCCTCAATGGGGGGGTTAGGGTGGGAGGGGGTCAATTGGGGGCAGGGCTAGTTGGGGCAAGGGTCTGCAGGCAGTTGACCGACCAGCCCCAACCCCTGGTCAAATACCCAGTCAAAGGAACAATTTTCATTTTAACCTTTTATAATATTATATAGGATGTTAACTCAGTAGGATTAAGCCAAAAGGCATGATTTTGTTTCAGTGTAATAAATAATATATACTTTCTTTATTTCTTATTAGTGTAAGTATATTTTGTTTTCTTACTATTTAACTTTTTCCCTTTTTACATTGAATTGTTCAAATTTCTATTTTATTTCCTCCCTCTCTCTATTAATTTGGGAATCTTACCCACTTTGCTTTTCAATTCTGCTTATAGACAGTTCCCTGTTCCTAACACACTAAGATAAACTTAAAATTCTCTTTACATAAAATAAGTCCTATCACTGAGATTTAGTTACTCCTCCTTACTGTCCCTGGCAGAATAAAATCTAGTCACATTCCCCAATCCTCTATAAAACCCACAAACCTCCCAAATTACTATCAAGTTTTCACTATCCCCTCTTCACTGTCTTTGTCCCAAGCTTTTAAAATATTTCAAAGAAGAGACAAATTGAGTTACATACTCTATAACTCCATAATAAAGGGGCCTTGGGTACGGTCTTGATGGAGGAGGGCAGAGGCAAGAGAAGAGCTATTTTTCCCGTGTAGAAATTAAAATTAATAGCCACAAAGATATGTCTGTGCCCATAAGCACATGTGAGATGTAATAGGAATCTGAGCCAGCCCTCCAAATCTTCCTTGGCTCCAAAGGGACATAGACAATTAAGAGTTGATGCTGAAGTAACAATTCTACAAAGTCCTGCCAAGACATTTCTGACTGAGGTAAAGGAACCTGCATGTAGAAAAGCTGTGAACTCACTGACAGGAAGCAAAAGTGGAAGTGACCACATCTTCAAAGATCCCCCAGTCCTAAGGAGCAGAGATGGAAAGAAGAAAGGGGAGTGGGGAGGATGATAAATATTTTTGTTGTTAATCCTCACCCAAAGATATTTTTACATTGGTTTTTAGAAAGAGTGGAAGAGGGGGAACAAAGAAAAAATGGAAAGGAAGGGGAGAAACAGAGAGAGGGGAAAACATGGATATGAAAGAGACACATGGACTGATTGCCTCCTGCAGGATGGCGAGGTACATGCCCTTCACCAAAATTGAACCCAGGACCCTTCAGTTCGTTGAGCCAAACCGGTTAGGGCAAAAACTTATTTTTCTTTATTTTTTTGTTAATCCTCACCTGAGGATACTTTTTCCTTTTTGTTTTGTTAAAAACTTGTTTATATTTAGCAATAAGAAAAAGAAGTGACAATGCACTTCTTTAGGCGACTCCTCCCGTTTCTCCATGGCCTCCCGTGACATCACGGGCACAGCTGCTGGGGGAGTGTCTGCAGGGCCACAGCTGCAATGGAGGTTAGTGGTCGCTGCCCACAGCCCCTCGGCCCCTCCAGCTGTTCTGTTCTGTAAACATTCTGCTGCAGGTTCTTGAGGGCCCTTTTCCGATCGGGCTGCGTCTGCGGAAATAACTGATAAACAACACTAAACTCAAACCTAGTAAAAGCTACCTGATGGTGTGAGAATCTTCCACTGGGTCACTGAGCACAGGGACCGACTTGCGGAATAGGCTCTTACTGCCAAGCCTCTCAGTGTGTTGGGAGGGAGAGGTGCCAGCCTCAGTGACAAACAAGAGCATGCAGGGCCTGGCCAGTGTGGCTCAGAGGGTAGAGAGCCGGCCTGCAGACCGAAGGGTCTGGGTTTGATTCTGGTCAGGGCACGTATCTGAGTTGTAGGATCCTCCTTGGGCAGGGCTCCTGTAGGAGGCAACCCAGCGATGTGTTTCTCTCTGTCTTTCCCTCTCTCCCATTCTCTCTAAAACCTATGGGAGCCCTAGTTGATTTGGTTCAGTGGATAGAGCATTGGCTTGCAGACTGAAGGGTCCAGGGTTTGATTTCGGTCAGGGGCATGTATCTGGGTTGCAGGCTGGATCCCCAGTAGGGGGTGTGCGGGAGCCAGCTGATGGATGTTTCTAACTTTCTATCCTTCCTATCTCTGAAATCAGTAAAAATGTATTTAAAAGGGACATAGAAAGGGAGTGGACTGACAATTCACAGGGGGAAAAGGATCTGAGGGGTGCGGGATGAGAGTGGACGAAAATCTTACATCTATGGATGAAGACAGTGGTGGGGGTAAGGGTGTGGGGTGGGATTGGGAATCGGGGGGAGGGGAGCTATGAGGCAGAGGGGGAGAGGAACACCTGTAATAATCTGAACAATAAAGATTTATTAAAAAAACAAAACAAAAAAAAAACAGTGGAAAAACCCCTGGGTGAGGAATAACAAAACAAAAAGTAAGTGCAGGCCCCTTTGGGGGGGGGGGGAGGGGTGTGATGCACCCCAGGGTCCTCAGAGACAAGTGTGCACACAGGCTCTGCCCACCGTCTCCTGAAGGGCTTGTGAGGCCTCCTGGATGGGCCTGGGCGCAAAGGCATCTGGTGGCTTGGTTTGTTTTCCATCCTGGACTTGCTTGGAAAGAGACAGAATACCAAGACTATCCCTCTGTATCCATGGAAACTGGTCCCTGTGAGGTCCTTGGGCTCAAACCTCCCAAGGAGCTGGCTGAGCACCTTCCTGGGGGCCACCTCCCTCCCTCCTTCTCTCCCTCCCTCCTTCCATCATTCCCTCCCTCCCTATCCCTTCCCACCCTCCCTCTCCCTTCCCTCCCTCTCTGCCTTCCTCCCTCCTCCTTCTCTCTCTCCCTTCCTCCCTTCCTCATTCCCTTATTCCCTTTCTCCCTCATTCCCTCCCTTCCTCCCTCTCACTTTCCCTCCCTCCCTCCCCCTCCCTTCCTTCCTCCCTTCTCTCCTCCCTTCCCCTCTCCGCCCCCCTTCCACTACGTCTGTCCTCCCACATGGGCTCTGTATCCCTGTCTCAGGTCAACCCTCATGGTCAGCTCCTCTGGGACCAGCTCCGTGCTCCCGACCTCCCTGCCTACACCTGTCATGCCTAGTGCTGCCTCTCAGCCCTCGCTGATGCCCGTGACCTCCTCTCCTGGCGGCAAGGACAGAACCCCACGTGCCTTCATCTGAGGCCACCGGTGCCCACGTGGTGACCTCACCTGAGCCCCAGCAGCATCCCGATCCCTCCCCAGGCGGTGTGATTCCCCAGAATAACCTCGTGTCTCAGAGTCTTCCTCACTGCAGCCACAGCCCTGCTCCCTCCCCACCCCACCAGGATACTTTTTCATTGACACCTCCCCCCTCCCCCAAAGGTCATTTCCTTTTACCAGGCAACTTTATTTATTTTTAAGATGTATTTTGTTGATTTTCACAGAGAGGAAGGGAGAGGAATAGAGAGTTAGAAACATCGATGAGCCGAGACTGGTTTGGCTCAATGGATAGAGCGTCGGCTTGGGGACTGAAGGGACCCGGGTTCGATTCCGGTCAAGGGCATGTACCTTGGTTGCGGGCATATCCCCCGTGGGGGTTGTGCAAGAGGCAGCTGATCGATGACTCTCTCTCATTGATGTTTCTAACTCTCTACCTCTCTCCCTCTCTCTCTGTACAAAATCAATAAAATATATATTAAATAAAAAAAAGAAAAAGAAACATCAATGAGCTGCCTCCTGAACATCCCCTACTGGGGATATGCCCAAAATCAAGGCACATGCCCTTGACCTGAATCGAACCTGGGATCTTTCAGTCCATAGGTCAAGCCAACGCTTTATCCACTGAACCAAACCAGTTAGGGCTCCATTGATTTTTAGAGAGAAGAGACAGAGAAAACATCCAATGTGTCCATTGGTTACCTCCTACAGGCACTGCGACCAAACCTGCAATCAAAGTACATGCCTTGACCAGAATCAAACCCAGGACCCTTCAGTCCATGCGTCAAAGCTCTATCCACTGAGCCAGAATAGCCAGGGCAAAACTCATTTTTTTAAAAAATATATATATTTTATTGATTTTGTACAGAGAGGAAGGGAGAGAGATAGAAAGCTAGAAACATCGATGAGAGAGAGTCATCAATCAGCTGCCTCTTGCACACCCCCTACTGGGGATATGCCCGCAACCAAGGTACATGCCCTTGACCGGAATCGAACCCGGGTCCCTTCAGTCCCCAAGCCGACGCTCTGTCCATTGAGCCAAACCGGTCTCGGCCAAAACTCATTTTTTTTTTTAGAAGCAAAGTTGTTTTGACATCTTCATTCTTCATCTGTTGTCATTGATAAGCAGTCAGCAGCCCTTCTGTGGCCCTCCCCAGCTGACCAATCTCCCAAATCACTCCCCATTCCTGATGGTATGTACAGGTGAGGTTCCCTCTGCCTGGCCTGCACCCTCTGGCAATCCAGGCTGAGAGATTTCTTCCCCCTCCCCCGAGTGCACAAATTTCCTATACAGAGTCTCTAGTGGATAAATACACGTGGAAAAGCAACTCTTGCAAAGGGACATTCAGACTGAATGTTTAGAATTTGTGAGGACTATCTGAGAGTTTAGATTTGGACAAAATGACTCTTCTCTAACCTAAAAACTCTCCAAAGACCCTCTGGGCATCTCTCATTCCATATAGATGGTGGTGGGTGATAAACCACCCCAGAATCCAGGTGAAAGGCATCAGCTGCCTATTACACTGAAGTCTTCATTCCCTAGCATCATATCATGCTCTAGCAACAGGGAACTTTGACTTTTGTGCTGGCAGCCAGAAAGCCAGCTCTAGCTTGGATGCCATTCCTCGGAAGTGACTTCTAGAATAAAAAGACTCACCTTATATTAAATGTGGTTGTGAGGGGAAATGGTGAACAACATAGACTGATGAACAAGAACAGACCCAAAGATAAGGAGCCCTGGGTCAGACTGTTGGACCTCAAAGGGAGGGTGGAGATAAAAGAGAGAGATCAACCAAAGGACTTATGTGCACACATATGAGCCTAACCAGTGGTCAAGGACAATAGGGGGTGGGAGCATGAGTGGGGGTGGGGTGGGGGATTGGAACGGGGGGTTGAGAACAAATATGTGATACCTTAATCAATAAAGAAATTAATAATAAAATAAAATATAAAATAAATGTGGATGTGTATTGTAATTTTCACAGAGAACCCAGGCTAAATAAATTACTGGCAAAGACAATTCAGTCTTTGAGCATAACTTTTGCTGCTCCT